AAACGTGTGCTAAACAGTTATGGTATCACCCATTCTGCCCTGGCCTATTCACATTTCCTATATTCTCCAATCACGCATTGACTGTCACAATATTTTACTTGCTTAATCAAATGTAGTCTGTGTGCCCTTTTTTAAGCTGCTTTCACGAGAAGTCTCCGCACTCCACGATGGCCTTCTCATCCCCTTCATTCCTGTACTAGTAATGTTGATCAGAGTCTGCCATATTGTAACGCAGTCCTCCTTCCCTAGGTCTTACCCCAGTCTCTCTCTTGCCCCATAAGATCCGTGTTGATATGAAGGAAACCTGCTGACCTATTTATAAGAGACTATGCGAACACAAAACCGCTTGTAAAGGTATATGGGTCCAAAAATTAGAGCATGTTGAACACCTGGCTAATACAGAACACTCATAAAACTATACACAAGCACGTTTTGCTGGTTACAGGGACTTCACATCAAAGCGTAGGCCTAGAGAGGCTATAAAAGCTAACAGAATAGCCAACGTCCTAAAGAGGAGGAACGAATGTATAAAAGTGAGTAGGAACTATTTGTGGATGTTAAATAGATTTAAAGAGATAGGGAGAACAGGAAGAGTCGCTCAACAAGAAGAGGCTGAGTGACCTTGAGTCTAAGCAGGACTATCACACCACTCATGATATGAATATTATGTATACACAATAAAAAAAAGCACAAACCCAAACATGAGTCAATATTAGAGGATCGTACGCTAATTTATTTGTGTAAGGAAACAGCTACTACCATACGCAATTCTGTATCGTAAAGTAACTTTACTTATCTGCAGGCATGTAGAGAAAATTTGAGGTAGGCAACTAAAACATGGGATGTCCCATTAAGATATCACGATTAGATGTATAAAAAAACGACTAGAATTACAGCCGGCCACCCTTTCTCTTGGTTTAGTATATTTGGGCCTATTTCGTAAAGTATGGATTCTTGCTCTGATGATGTCTGCCTCAGTACAGACTCATTGGAGTTGCAGGATAGTGAGCGTATGACTTCTTTGCACAATACAACAGTCTTCATTACGCAGCAATCTTCTTTCGGTTTTCGGTAAAACAATGTCACGAATTCCTTCCAACCAACTTTTCTTTCGAAATGAAGGGATAAATTAAATTTACCCAGGAGTATACTGTTCTTGGTCAGTTGGATAGGCTGCCCTTGGTGTCAGACTGCAGATAAGAGCACCGTGTTTCCAGTCAGCTCGGAGGGCACGCCTTAGGTGATTCACAATGGCTAGCCGATCGACTGGTACACGAACGCCCTGGGAGGAATCGCTCATGCGGGTACCCCTTGCCCAGAGTAGGTTGACTCCATCGATAGCCAAAAGACCGGAAGGACCCTTCGTGCCATCGTTGTGGCTGCATGTAGCACGAAGCTAAAATAAGACGAGGTAAATTATAAATGAAATAATAAATATAGCCTTCATGCTTCAATTTGACTGATTTTATTAGCGACTACCTATTAAAGTATTTGAGTAAGG